CCCGGCGCTCCGCACTCCGCACGACTCCGCCTCGTCCGCGTGGCGGGATACGAAGGCGGGACAAACGCTGTTCTACTATGCGCAGCGCCACGTTTCCTTCGACGCGGACGACCTCGACCATGCGCTGGCCCAGCTCGAAAGGGGGGGGCTGGGGAATACACGGGGTGCCGAGGACATGGACGAGGGGGGTGAGGAGGGTGTGGATGCGTTGGCTGGAGACGGGGGGGAGAGGGGGCAGGCGGACTTGGGGGGGAAGGAGGGGGGGGGGGAAGGCGGCATGGGCGCGGAGCGCAGCGTCGCGGCCGACCCCCTGCAGCCCACCTCTACTGCGCATGCGTACGACCCCGCGAATGTGCTCGCGGAGGAGGAGGAGCGGATGCTCGCGGAGCATCACGCTGCGGCGCGCCCGCGTTCTGGGTGGCTGAGCTGGCTTGGGCGTTGAGCATGCGGCGTGGTGGCTTGTCGATAGAGGAATAGGCACGGACGCAGTCCCATGCGGCGGCTACAACGAAGGTGACGACGCACGCTGCCGAGAGAAAGCGTGGCGAAATGCGCGCAGGTCCACGTGGAGCCACGTGCGCCACGCGGCGCCACGCGGCGCCTCGGGTAAAAGCGGTCTCGGCCGTTGTTTGCTACCACCACCCGAACACGTCCTGTTGAACGCGCCACGACATCGGCCGACTCAAACGCCTCCACCCACAGCAACACCGCGCGACGCGCCTCCTGTGCAGCGAGGCTGGTGATGGCCATCCTGCAGGACGCACCGCACACATCCACTGCCGAATCGTGTCCGCCCAGTCACGCAACGCACATGGGCCGTGAGGACTCTCTGCCGACGCACGCACTGCCCAGTGTATCGTCGGCGCAGCCGTTCGCGATGGGCGACCACGCGGGGCCGCATTACCACTCCGTCGACGCGCTCTCGTCGAACGTGCTGCCAAACCGGGAGCGCCTCGTGCCGCCGGACACGCAGCCGAAGCCGCCGACGACGAAGCGCCGCAAAATTAACACATGCTTCCCCTGCAAGCAGCGCAAAGTCAAGTGCGACCGGCAGCATCCGTACTGCGGACAGTGCCAGAAGCACCGCATCCCCGCGGAGCGCTGCGTGTGGAGCAACGACGTGATGACGACCGACATGCACCCGGCATCTGCGCTCTCCTTCCCGAAGTCCGACTCGGCCCACACGCCAATAGGCCTTTCTGCGGGCGACTGGGCTGGCGCGCACGGTGCCGAGCTCGCATTGGACAACGACACGCGCGCGGTGATCGAGCGCATTAGCCACCTCGAGCAGCGCCTTGCGGGTGCGTCCTCGTCGCAGCCAGCCTCCCACGACATGCAGGGGTCCGCCGGCGCCGGCCAGACGCAAATCGACCCGCTCCTCCTCGCCGGCACCACGCTCTCCCTGGGCGAGGTGAACACGGACCGTGCCGGTTCCACATCGCTTCCACAGGACGCGACGGTCGCCGCGGAGCTCGCGTTCTGGCGTGCGAAAATGGAGCAGCACCAGCGTCCCCCCGCGTCCGCGGAGAATCCGCAGATGGCGCAAATGCAGGCGGAGCAGAATATTGCCGCGGATGCGCTCGCAATGTTCGCGCGCCACTCGCAGCAGGGCGCGCTCTCCGGCGGCGACCAGTCGCTTTCCCGTGCCGGCGACGCGGCGAGCCTGCCGGGCGCCAGTGGCGACGGGCTGCCGCGGACGAACGTTGTGAATGCGATGCTCGACAGTGGCGCATTCCCCCTCGGCAGCGGGTCGTCACCGTCCACACGCGTGCGTGCGGCGCTGGACATGCTGCCGGACACGCAGCAGATGGATTACCTGCTCAAGATTTTCCAGACCGTTGACCTGCATGTCCTCTACGGGATCAGCTGGCGTACGTTCCGCGCTCTCTGTGACTGACGTCAGGCCTTGTCAGGATGCAGCTGACGAACCTGCGTTCGCAGATGGCGAACTGGAACCGCATGCATACCAATGCTCCCGAGAACGTGGACCTGTCCTTTTTGTCCCTCCTTCTCGTCCTTCTCGCGCTCGCGGCACAATACACGGAGTCGCGCTTCTTTATCGAGCAGGGCTTCTGCTCCGCCCCTGACCAGGTCAGCACGCGTACGTATCTGCCCTTGGGCCCGCGTCTTTGTGCCTGTGGCGCCTTTGCCCCTGAATCCATCCTTCCTCCTACCCACCGTTTCCCTCCTCCGAAGTGTTTCCCTACTGTTCCCCCCCGCACCCCCTGTTTTCCTCCCCCCATCCCTTTCCCTTTCCCTACTCATTCTCCCCACTCCCACCCACCCTTTTCCTCCCCCCCCCACACTTTCCAACCCCACCTTGTTCCGTTCCCCGAATCCTTCCCTTCCCCCTCACGCATGTCCTTCCCCCCCCACTCACCACCAGTCGTCGACACATGGGTCGAGATGGCACAGGCGCTCATGGCGATGGACGACTTCGCGCAGGAGACGAACCTGAACCACATCACCGCTCTGCTGCTGTGCATGGACTACCACGCATCGCGTGGGAAGCTGGTCCTGTGCCACACGGCGATGGCGATGCTCCTGCGTCTTGCGGAGCTGCAGGGATACCACGCGCTTGGATCGGCCAAGGACGACGAGGAGCTCTGGAGCCAGTCGCCCGCGAGCAAGCAGGTGTGCCTGTCCGCTGTCGTCGGCGTGCCGAACAGCACGAGTGCACGCGCCGACGTCGCGCCAAAGTCGCTTGCGAGCCTCGCGAGCAGTCTGCCCGACCGCTCGCACCTCGTGCGCGAGGCGGCGCGCCGCATCTGGTACAAGATTGCGTGCAAGGACATGGCGCTCAGCGCGGCGTTTGGGCGTGCGTCGTCCCTGGACCTTGCGCGCGTGACGACCAAGGCGCCGCTGAATGTCGACGAGGAGGACCTCCCCGACGGCGAGACGCATGTGCTCCCGGCGATCAAAGCGGATGGCCGGGCGACGATCAACAACCTCACCCCGTACCTGTTCCAGGTCGCCGACTTGATGCGCGCGTGGAGCGCGCACAGCGCGGACGAGCGGCCGTACGAGCAGCTGCTCGATCTCGATGCGAAACTACGGAGCGTCTTCCAGACGCTCCCGATCTTCCTGCGCCCGGATCCCACCCTCGAGCAGCTCCCGGAGGTGCGCCAGGAGCAGGCGCAGCGGCCGTACCTCGCGATGCACCGCCTGATCGTGTTTGAGGCGGTGAACCACCGCCTTCTCCTGCTCCACCGCGAGTACATGTGCCGGGGGCACCACGACGAAAAGTTTTCGTACTCCGCGCGCGCGGCAGTCGATGCGGCGCGCACACTCATTTCCTGTCGCCAACAGATCGACAATGTGCATCCCGCGGTGCAGCGACATGCCGTGTTCCGGCATCATCTCTTCCAGGCCGCCATTGTACTTACGATCCATCTGCTCCACCTAAGCTCCAAGTCGCAGGGATCCTCCCAGGTCGCGCACCAGCTCCGCGACGACATTGCGCTAATCATCAGCTATCTCTCGGACGTAAACGTACGTCCTTCATGCGCACGCACTAACACCAGGACTTGGCCAGCGGCATGCTCAGCACCCACCTGCCCCACCCGCAGAAGGTCGCGCTGAAGCTGCTGCATCTCCTCCTCGCGGAGGACGGCGATCGTCGGCAGAGTGCTTCTGCAGACGCAAAGGACAACGCGGCCACACACTCCGAGAAGCCGCTGTCCCACGACCACGGCTCCGTCGGCGGCATCGCGATCGACGGCAGCAACACGGGCAGCCTCTTCCAGCTCGCCGCATCCACATCTCCCTCATCGGACTCCGTGCATGAGACGGCCGCTGCATTTGCCTCGCAGCTGCTCGATCCGGACCTTGGCCTGTCGTCGTCTCCCACGGAGCTGTTCGCATCCCTCGATGAGCTCATGGTCCCCATTTTCTAGTGTTACTCTGCACAGCATCTGAGTTGTATTTGAAGCCGTCGTCTCCATGTGCCTCAGGCAGTGACCCTGTCATTGTCCTTCCATCGTCGCCTACGCTGCGCGCGTAGCAGCGCTGCACGATCGACGCCACCTCGTTCCACGAGTCCACTGCGACGAGCTGCGGCGATGACGCGCGCGGCGGGCTTCTCTCGGGGCCCGCAAGCGGGATCTTTGCTTCCACGGAGCTCACCAGGGGGATCTTCGCTGCCTCCAGGCGCGCCCGCAACTTTGCGTTTCGTCCCATCACGATTCCTATTGTAGCGTGCAGAAGGCACGGCATGTCCGTCTCACTGTCGCCAACGAAAATGGTGGCCAGCGCGTCCTCGTTGACCCCCTCCCCCTCCCCCGCCCGCTCCTCTACGCGCCTGTTGTCGACCGGCCCCCGCGCGGCGGCCCTGGATCCCTGCATAATCTGCTCCATAATTCGCAGCTTGTCCGCTCCTGTGAGGATATGCTGGCCGTCCTGTGCACCGACGATGCGACCGGTGCACAGGCCTGCCGAGTCCAACTCGAGCTCGTTTGCATAGACCGCATCCAGGCCGATTGCGCGCAGGTCGCTTTCTTCGTCACTGCGCCCGCAGCCGCGTGTGGCGAGGAGCGAGTCGAGAATAAATTGGCGAGACCAGTTCACGCTTACAATGCTCGCATGGGCGACGGCGCGGTGCGTCCGCAGCCACGCACACATCGAGTCCCATCCATCACGGAGGGGCACATGTCGCGCGCGGAGAGCGCGGGCTCCGGGCGCACGCCGCGGAAGAGCTCGTTGCGCTCGATGCGCCGTAGGCTTTTCTCCTCTACGGCGCGCTGCGCGGCGAGGAACGCGGCCGTTGGTTCGGTCGACGGTGTGACGCGAAAGTGGGAGGTCAGCGCGTGCAAGTCCGCCGAATACGCGTCTTCATAGTACGAGAACGGCGGTGATCCACTTACGACCTCATCGTCCGCAGGCGCCAGCGCGCGCAACGTGTCGTGCTGGGAAACCGTCTCGTCGTAGTCTATGAACAGCCAGAGGCTCATGGTGACGCGGAACGAGATAAGCGTCTCTCGTTAGGACTCCTTCATCAAGCGAGTCCAATAGTTTAACGGTTATGACGTATCCTTCACATCCTGTGACTATACGTCGCGAACGGATAAGATCCCGGTTCGATTCCGGGTTGGACTACATTTTTTGATGCGCGCGCCGGGCCCATTTTTTGACGGCGTGTCGTTGGCTCGCATGCCCTTTTGCACCTCCGGCTCCTTCGGTCCCCGTTCATCTATCAAACAGAGTTGGCGTAATAAAAACATCTAGGGGTATTTACATAGTTTGCGGATGCTTGCGGCCTTGCAAACAGCGGAGGTAGTCGTCGTCGATTGGGGTGTCAGGATGGAACTGAATTCTGCCCTTGCTGTACAAGTCTTGGGTGGAGATAGGAACCAGAGAAGCGCCGTGGGCATCCGTGTGCGTTTTGGACGACTTCCATGCACTGCCGACACTGGCACCAATAAACGCGGGAATAATTGCAAGAAGACTTTGCGGGTGGATATTCTTCTCACGCATGAGTTTCGCGTCGCTTTTCATAACCAGGTTGCTCGCGCGTAGCCGCCCGCCGCGGACACGCGAGAAAGCGCCCAGCTGCTTCGCCAACTCGCCAATTGCGGGCTCGTTCCAGTCGGAGTACGGGTCAAGCGACGCCCGGGGTTTTTTGTCGGGCGCTACCTGTGGCAGCGCGTTCGGGTCCGGCATGAGCTTGAACTTAATCATGAACCTCTCCACGGGCTGCGTCGGACACAGGCGCACGATGAATCCCAGTGGCCACGAGATGAATCCCGCCACAATTGCGACAGCCCATTGCACGCCCGTCTGGCGCCTCACACTGAACGCGGCGCCGCCCACGTACATGATCAGCACTTGCATGCCAACCTCAATCATAAGGATGAGCATAAACCATTTGTTGCGGAAAATGTTGTGGAAGATGTTTGGGTTCCGATCCAGACTGCGGTCGTTCACCTGATTAAACAGCTGGCACCAGACAAACACGTTGAAGATCATCGACCGCAGCTGCACGTTCTGTAGCAGCCTCTTTGCCGGGTCGGGGCTGTCAAGATTCATGATACTCGCGCCTTTGAAGTTGAGCACGAGGATCAAAATGATCTGGTAGATGGACTGCACCACGACCTGCTTCCACATGTCCACCGACACAAGCGGGGTCCAAAAATGGTCGGGCTTGCGGTCCAGCAGCGCATCGTCCGCGGGGTCCGTCGCGAGCGCCAACGCGGCCAGCGTATCCATAATCAGATTCAACCACAGCAGCTGCACGGCAGTGAGTACGGACGACTCGTCATTGCTCGCGATAGCGGAGACAAGCGTGACGACGACCGCAACGATGTTTACCGTGAACTGGAACTGCAGGAACTTGCGTACCGCATCGTTCACACATCGGCCCCATGTGACCGCACGGACGATACTCGAGAAGTTGTCATCAAGGAGGATGATGTCGCTCGCCTCCTTCGCCACTTCCGAGCCCGCAATGCCCATGGAAAAGCCGACATTCGCGGACTTGAGTGCCGGCCCATCATTCGTGCCGTCCCCGGTGACCGCGACGATCTCGCCCATGCTCTTCAGTGATTCGATCAGCAGTTTCTTGTCGTTGGGACTCGAGCGCGCCAGTACCTGGATGCGCGGTGCAATTTCCAGTAGGTCGCCGCGCGCGAGCCGGCGAAAGTCGGGGCCCTCCATTACGACACCGCCGGGCATGAAGATGCCGCACTGCTTCGCGATGGACTGCGCGGTGATCACATTATCCCCCGTGCACATCTTCACTTGCACACCTGCTTTCCGGCACGCGCGCACCGCCTCGGTCACGCCGTGCCGGAGCGGGTCCTCGATCGCGGTCACGGCGAGCATGGTCATCTCCTGCGCGAGAAAGTCGTACGGGACTTCGCCGGAATCCTGCGTCGGCGCGCCGCGTGGCGGCCACACGTCGAAGTCGCGATAGCAGAAAGCGATCGTCCGCAGCGACTGCGACGCATATATAGCGATTGTCTCGCCGAGTTTCGCGCGCACCGCGTCGACTAGCGGCTCCTTGGGGATATCACTCGCATCCTGCTCCCCCTCCAGCTTCACGACAGACGTGCAGCACGCAAGAAGTACCTCGCTGGCGCCCTTCACGTAAACACGATAGCCCTGTTTCCGGCGGACAACGACACCCATGGCTTTCCGCTCGGAACTAAACGGGATCATCTGCTCGATATCCGCGTGGTTGCGGATCTCGTTGTAGTCGCCCCAGTCAAGACGACCGATGAAACCGAGGAGTGCCGTCTCGGTTTTTGAGCCAGTAAACCCCTGCTTCTTCGCAGCATCCTTCTTCTTCTTCTTCTTCCGCGAGAAGCTGTCCAGCACCTGGATGTACCACGGCGTGCGCTTTTTCTGCAAAAGCCCCTCCTCCTTGGTGATCGGCGGCGTATCTGGTTTGAACGCGGTGGAATTAATGCAGACGGACGCCGCAATGCACTCGCGCAGCGGCGGTGAGATTACATTTCCGAGACTTGTGAGCGGCACGGCGTCTGCGGTGGTAGGCGCCACGTCCGCAGACTCCATCTTGACCGGGTCCTCAAAGTGCAGGTCCGCACCGATGCAGCCCGCCACGACTGCCATTACGTTCTGCGTCAGTGTGCCGGTCTTGTCCGTGCAAATGCACGTCGCATTCGCCATCGTCTCGCACGAGCCGAGGATGCGCACGAGGAGGTTATTGTTCGACATGCGGCGCGTGGCAAACGCGAGCGCGAGCGTAATCGCCAGCGGCAGGCCCTCCGGCACCGCAACGACGATGATCGTGACCGAGATGACGAGGATGCCGATGAACTTCTCGCCGTATCTCGCGCCGTCGACGTGCGGATCCTGGCCCAGTTTCACAAAGAAGCGGATCATGAGTGCGACGAACAGCAGCAAGCCTGCGGACGTGCCGAGCTTTGCGATGAGCTCTGCGAGGCGGTTCAGCTTCTTCTGCAGCGGTGTATTGTCCGGCTCATCCCGCAGCGACATCATTAGTTTGCCATTAAAGCTGAGCTGTCCCACCGCGGTCACGACAAACTCGCCGACCCCTTCCAGGACCTTGCCGCCGGAGAGCATGAAGCAGGACGCGTGCTTCGGCGGATGTCCTCCCCGCGCTTGGGACTCCGCCAGGTACTCGTCGTAGGTGACCTTGTTGATCATGTCCGACTCGCCGGTCGCACTGGACTCGTCGCACTTCACGTTGTGCCCGCTGAGCAGGACACCGTCAAATGCGACAATCTCGCCAGGCTCGAACAGCACCACGTCCCCCACGAGCACATCGTGCACATCCACCATCTTTTTCGCGCCGTTGCGACGCACAGGAACGCTGCGCTTGTCTTTCTTTGCATCCAGCGCGCGGAACTGCCGCTCTTTTTGCCAGTCGTTCAGCGAGCCCACGAGATCCACGATCACCACGGCGACCATGATCGCCACGCCTTCCACCCAGTCGAGCGGCTGCTGAATGCACATCGTCTGCCCGGGAGGCGGATGCTCGCACGGGGCGAACTCAGGCGGCGGGGACAGGTCCACGTACAGGCCCAGCGCAAGCGAGACGACCGCGGCAACAATGAGCAGAATGAGCACCTTGTCTTGCAGCGCCAACCACATGAGGAGCAGCAGGCTCTTCGACTTGCGCTCCGGCAGCTTGTTCAGGCCGTACACGCGCATGCGGTCTTCGAGCGTCCCGCTCGCAGGGCTGCCCCACGCCTCGTCCGTGCCGGATCGATCGGCGGAGATGCCATTCTTCGCACTCGTTCCGAGGCCCTGCAGCAGACCATCCGTGCCGCCCATCGCCTGCAGCGCGGCAAAGTCCTCTGGATCGACGAGTTCACAGAGCTGCTGAGGCTTCAGTTTGAACGGCGCGGGGTCCTTATTGAGCAGCTCTTCCCGTTCGCGTTTGTAGTGGTCCTCTACGCGCTCTTCTTCCCCCTTCCCAAAGTACGGCACCGCGTGCCAGATACGCGCCCCGATGCTCTTTGGCGCACGCTCCTCGGCATCACCGGACGAAGCGTCCAACTTGTGCTCTCGCAGCGCGGAGGACGCGCCGTCGGTAGGCGAGCTGTCCACCGTCTTGGGATCGGACTCCGACCGCGGCGGCGCATGGACATTTGGCGTAATGAACGTCGGACGTTTCGGAGAAGCGGTCGACACGCCATGCGCTCGAGGCGTGGACGGGAGCGTGTCGGAGGGCCCCGCGGCGCCCCGCGGATCGTCGCCACTCAAGTGCGCATGCGCCTCCCAGCGTGCTTCGGGCTCCATATGCCCCATATTTACAAGAGTGACAGGTGGCGCAGGCGCCACCCCGGATTCGGGGGCACTGGGCACCCCCGTCGTTGGCGACGCAGTCATCACGCAGCCCTCGCGATACACGCGTCACCCGAGCAACCTTGCACCGCTTCTTGGGAATGCGGGCTAAGCTTGCGGTGGTCGTAGTCGTGATAGTCGCACTCACGGCAACTCGCCCTGGTCAATCGCCTGCCAGAGCCCCATTTCCGCACCGACATTTTGTGGCCGCGGAATTGTCACATGACAGCCCATGCGCACTTTGGCTCGGTCAGGGGTATTTGTGATAGACATAATATGCACAAGTGCATCGATGCAGCGCGTGCACAGCCCTAGTCTACGACCGCACAGCCCAATTACATGCCCCAGCTACGGGCGATGCCTGCCAGGAACGGTTACCATGATTCGCTCCCCGTGAGCGTCGGTGGACGTACCAAGCCATCCGCGCCCCCCCCATTCTGCCCACTGATGCGCACTGTGCGCGACCGACTGCAGTGACGGCATTGCTGGGCTCGCCGCTGCGAGACCGTGCAATAGCGCGACAGAACTTTCGTAATTCATCTTGGGTTGTGCGGCCAGTGCCGTTTCTGCCGCCCACGTTAGTACTGCACCACGTCTGCCCTCGGACGCACCTGCGGCGCCGTAGGCGAACGCGAGCTTGGCGCGTGCCGCATACCATTCTGGCTTTCTCGTCAGCATGTGGCGTCGGCCCTGCCCTACCCCGTGTCTCCCTGTCCATCCTGCAGCGTCATAGGCATTATCGGCCAGTGCCGCCGCGCGGCCTGCGAGGTGGACTGGGTTCGGCATGTTCCCTGTGAGTGCGGTCAGTGGCCCCACGTGCAGCA